GTTTTAAAGATGAGGAAACTGAGAAACAAAGAGGAAGTTGCCCAAGATTGCACAGCTTAAAAATGGTAGAGGCGGGATTTGAACTCAGTGGTTTTGATTCCGGAGTCTATGCTCTTAATCACTGTGCTGTTTTTCTAGCCACTTAGCAGGGGAAGAAGAGTAACTTTCTGTTTTGATTTGTGAGTAAATTTTAGTTTTTATTTTAGGTATCTATTTTACATTGAAATAGCCTTGGCGCTCCCAAGAAGTTTGGTGGCCAGACGTCAGCTGAATGCTGTAAAGTGTGTTTAATACCCACAGACACGAAGCTTCATGAGGACGAGACCATTCCTGTCTTGTGCCAGCACACCCTCAGCCCCAGATACCTGGCATGTACTAAGAGAATAAGAAATATCATCGAATGAGTAAATTTATTTCTGTAGTATGACTACTGGTTTCTGATACATATAACGGAGGAAAAAATGACAGGACAAACTCTGGCTCCAAATAATCTGCTTTCTCCTTGAATAAGCACGTAGACAGAGAATCTAAAAGTGGCATTTCTGATTTCAGCTATTCAGATCGTTCTTATAATCTTCAAATTTTGCCTTTTATATGTAACATGACTTAGTATAAACTGTATGTGTTAGTGAGGGCAGTACTTGCTGCTGCAACAAAAACACCCTGTAATTCCCAAGTTTATTGCTCATTCATGTACCAGTCCAATGTCTTGATCAGAGGGTGGCGTCATTCCTCAAGGTGAGTCCACCAACTACCGGGGCCTTGGAATCCTCTGCTTCCAGCGAGCCAAAGTGGGAAAGTCTCACCCAATTTTTAAATATCCTGGCCTGAAAATTTAAAAAAAAGGCCCAGCTGGTGTGGCTCAGTTGTTGAGTGTCGACCCATGCACCAAGAGGTCGCTGGTTCGATTCCCAGTCAGGGCACATGCCCAGGTTGTGGGCCTGATCCCCAGTGAGGGGCATGCAGAAGGTGGCCGATCCATCTTCTCTCTCATCGATGTTTCTCTCTCTCTCCCTTTCCCTCCCACTCTCCCTAATAAAGAAAAAAAAAAAAAATCCTGGCCTGGAAGTAATGACCATCATTTTTGTTCATATTGCATTAGAGAGAATGAGTCATGTGCCTGTGCTTGGATGCAAGGGAGGCTGGGAAATTTAGCCCTAGCTGAGCAGCTATCTATCAGCTCCCCTATAAAAGGAGAAGCATGACTTTTTGGTGGACAGCTAGCAATCTTCTGCCATAGTGAAGGATAAGCATCTTAAGTTGCTCTGTAATGCATGATGTCCACCAGACAACGTACTGACGTTAGGAATGTCTCAATCTTAGGTAACTTTCCAAAACCTCATCTAGAAAAATGGAAGACTAGTGTCAACCAAAGCACAGACATTCACTGATGTGAGCTGGGATGTCAGGCAGCTTGGAACAGGCGTCTGAGAAAAATCTTAGAGTGAGAGACTTGGGTTCAAATCCTGTTTCAGGCAGTTACTAGCTGCCTGATCACAAGAAATTTAACTTTGAGACTCGGTGTTCTTAACAGCCAATTGGGGATTATAACACCCAAATGTCAGTTTGATGTTGATTAGAAGTAATATATATAAAGGTCCTGGAAGATGGTAGATAGTAGGTAAATGGTATCTGATATTCCTATGTTTTCTGAACAAAGATTTCTCAAGAAAGCAAACATACCTTCTTTCTTTTTCATTGCTTCAGAAATAGAAAGTGTAATAAAAAACAAGTAATGAGCTGTATGTAAATGTAAGTTGTAGGACCATGTGGATGTCATGTTTCCAACTGCAGATGTTACAACTGTTCTATATCCAGAATGACACCAGAAATGAGTCGAAACAAGCAGTATGATTAAACTGCTTGTAATTGCCTGTAGGCGCCATGGGAGATGAAAAATAAGTATATTAATAGTCATGATTTATTGAGTGTATATATTATGTCCCTTAATCCTCACACCAACCCCATGGGACATATTGTTATCACTGCCAATAAGTCATTACCATCACCATTTTGCAGATGAGAGAACTGAGGCATAGAGATAGAAAAGAATTATCCAGGACTGTCAATCACTAAGGGTGGAACAGGGATTTGAACCCAGGCAGTCTGATTCCAGAATGCAAACTCTATCTAAATCCAGGAGTCTGGGATCTTGTGTAGGAAAAGCTTTATCTATGGAAAACACTTGAATACAATGCACGATAACATTGTGCTGAAGTGTGGTACAAATTATAAATGCTATAGGAATTCAGTCTGGAGAGGAACTCCCAGTGCTTGGGCAGAACTGTGTGCCAGGCATTGTACTGGGTGTTTCCATCCTTCCCATTTAAGGAGAGGCAGCACAGGGTCTGTAGAAGAGGAAGAGCACAAGCCTTGGGACTGGACAGGTAAGGTTGAAATCCAGGTGCTGCTATTTACAACCTGTGTAACCTCAGGCAAACCACTTAACTTTTCTGGTATGGATTCCTCAACTGAAAAGAGGGATTACAACAACCACCATAAAAGGTTTACTGTCATGAACTGGTACTAGCCTACGATAGGTGCTATTCACTCAACAAATACTGATGAAATCCCAGGCACTTGTGAGCAATACTATCAGCCAGCACAAGCTGGGTTATGCTGCTGTAACAAACAACCACCAAAATCTCACTCACTCTACTTTTTCAATGCAGGTTAGCTGGGACTGCTCTGACATCTTTACAGAGACCCAGGCTGGCTGGGGGAGACCCTATCTCTGTACTTCCATGGTTGTCAAGATAGGAGTGCCAAGGCTGTAGTACTTTCAGAATTGTCAAGACATGGGGATTTGCCCAATGGATCTTAAAAGTCTCTACTTGAAAGCAATGCTCTCAAGGCATATGGCCACATCTAATGTCAAGAGGGTGGGATAATAGAGTCCTATCACATCCCCAGAAAGAGAAAAAACCAGAGAATATCTGGTGAGCAGTTTTAGTTACCACTATAGACATAACCTGTTTACCTGTAAAACAGATTGGTAATCCATATTTTAAGAAGAGGAAACTGAAGCTCTGGGAGGTTAAGTCATTTGACCAAGGTCACACAGCCTATTCTCTGGGGAGCCAGGCTTGACCCTTATGTTACCCACTCAGACTCTTTATTCTACACGTACAATGTCTACAGACTTTGTATCAAAGCAGAATACAGTTTCAGGGTGGGGGCAGGGAGGCACTGCAAGTGTGGAGGACAGAATAGGACTTGAATAAACATGGCCTTTGTGTTTGAATTATGCAATAACTAGTGTGCTCATGAGGGAGGCAGGAGGGGGCAAAGGGGTTCATGTGAAGCCTCAGTAGAAAAGTGTGGACAGATAATACCAAGCACTGACCGGTGGCAGAGGGGCAGGCATGGAGGATGGGAAGACTGCCTTGTTTTAGGCCATTGCTCTGGAAGTCGGGAGGGGGCCTATGGAGAGGACATGCCGTCGCAGGAGTCCGGGGTAAGGTGATAGGGACAGACAGGAGTGAAGACAGCAGGAATGCAGAAGGGATGAACCTGAGCGCTGCAGAGGAAGGTCGAGCTGCGCTCACTGGGGAAAAAAGTCAAGAACCACCAGGCGATCTGCAGAGCGCACCAGACAGTCTTCATACCTCACTCTCCTATCCCCGTCTGGTATACTGCACAATGTATAAAAAAAGTTCCCTAAGGTCTCATTTTCTCTTGCCTTCTTCCTTATTTTTCCATGCCTATTCAAGAAGGGGGGGGGGGGGGTCAGCTTTGCAGCGGTCAGAGGCCGTGCCTGCCTGACCTTCAGCTTGGGGGTACGGTCGCTGTTGTCATCCATCTCCAGGATCTGGCCCTTCCAGTTAAAGGAAAAGTCCCAGGGCACTAGGGGCCAAGAGGCCTGCAAGTGGCCTCCTGCTCAGCAGGCTCCGGGCCCTGCTCCATCCGAGGTCCTGGCGTGCCCACCTCTGAAGGCAGCCTTGGCCGGCAGGGTGGGCGTCCAGCTCGGTCCTGGCGTCCCTAGCGCCCCATCTCTTCCACATCCCCAACTCTCCTCCTCTCCCAGGCGGCTGCCCGTGCAGGAGCCCTGGATGGTGGAGGACCGGCAGTCCGGCGGCGGGAGCCAGGTTCAGCCTCCGAGTCTCCCTTCCTCCTTTCTTCGGGGAGGGCGCCGGCCCGGGTCAAAGCGCTCCTTTCGGGGGTTCTCGGGTCGCACAGCTGCCCCAGGCGGCCAGCCATCCCCCAGGCCTGTGCGGCGGGAGGGGTGCGCATGCGGCGGGAGGGGGGCCGTGACTCACCGCCTGTAACCCAACACCCGCCCTGCCTCCCCTCCTCCAGCCTCTCCCCCAGCTCCGGCTTGGCGGCCGCGGCGACACCTAAAAGAATGAAGGGGCGCCCGGGCCCGTGGCGCCCCCGGCCGGATCGCGAGCGGGCCCCAGGGGCCCCCGGCTCGGAGCTCTCTCGGTTGCACGGGCCCCGGGCTCGGCGAGCAGCCGCCGCCGCCCGGGCGCGAGCCAGAAGGGAGGCCGAGCGGCCGGAGCAGGAGGCGGCGGCGGCGGCGGCGGCGGCGGAGGTGGTGGAGGGCCCGCGGTAGCTGCGGCGGGCGAGCCCGGGGAGGGGGCGCCCGGGCTTGGAACCCCCCAGTCCCCGTCCCGGCCGAGCGAGGACAAAGCCCTCTGGCCACTGCCTGCGGCCTACACCGCGCGGCACAAAGGGCGAGTCGCGACACGCACCCATCCCCCTCCCAGCTCGGGGTGGCCCCGGGCCGGGGGTGGCGGCAGGGAGGTGGGGGAAGCCCCGGCCGCCCCGCCCCTCGCTCCCCCTCCCCCGGGACCGGCGAGCGCGCCGCCCAGCCCCCGCCCCGTCTGCCCGGCCTCCGGGGGAGGGGTCGGGGGGCGCGGCGCCCACATAACACTCCCCCTCCTGCTCTCGGAGCCACCCCTCTCCCCTCCCTCCTGCAAACACCACCGCCTCTCCTGCCACCGCCGCCACCTCGCCGACGCTCCTCAGTTCGCCGCGGCCGGTGGGCGGTGCGCGGGCTGTGCGCGCCGGGGGCGCCAGATGTGCAGTCCCGGCCCCAGCCAGTGACCCAGCGCAGCCCTAGCGGATCCGGCCGCCTCCCCAATGCTGCGGGGGCGACCTTGAGCGCCCCGCGACGTACCTCGGCGGGGACCCCGACACCCCGAGCACTGTGCCGGGTCCCGTCCTTTCCATCCCACTCGCCCTGACTTTGGACATGGAGGGGGCCGCTGCGCCCGCGGTCCGGGACGGCCCTGACTCGGGGCCGGGGGCGCCGGGCTCTCCCCTGGAGGCGGGGGCGGGGGCGACCGCAGCCCCCGCAGCGGCGGCCCCGGAGCCCAGGAAGCCGCACGGCGTGAAGCGGCATCACCACAAACACAACTTGAAGCACCGCTACGAGTTGCAGGAGACCCTAGGCAAAGGCACCTACGGCAAAGTCAAGAGGGCCACCGAGAGGTTTTCGGGCCGAGTGGTGAGTGGGGGAAGTCCCGGGGGGCGCGGGCTGGACGCGGCTGGAGACCGAGGGCGTCACGGGCGGGGGTAGGGGGCTTCTTGGGTGCTCAGTCTCTCTTGTCCTTGATGGGGCTCTCCGGGACCCCTAGACAGCTCCACTCGCTCAGTTCCCCGTGACTCAGGCGTGTTTCTCTCCTGAAACACTTGTTACATCCTGTCTACGCATATTTTGGGTTTTTTTTTTTTTTATCCCAGCAGCAAAGTAGTGTTTATGATTTGCAAACACTTTGCAATGTTGGGACCGTCGGGGTCTCCCTCTCGGGCACGCATTCAGACCATGCCCTGGAATGCCTTATTGCTCTAACTCCAAACCAGACCCACGGCCTCAGCTCAGAGCTGGTCCCCCTACTCCTGTGTCCAGATGAATGGGACCCCTCCATCCTCCCACTCCTACTTCCTATCACCTTGGTGCTGTCGCTGCTAGGGAGGGTGGACTCCTGCCTCTTTTTCAGAGAGAAGCTTAGGGAGCAGAAGTAAAGGCTGCAGCAGGCAGGAGGCTTGTGACAGTTTGGCCTGGCTTCTGGGAGGACTGAAATGCCCTGGGCATGAGTAGCCACACACATGCTGAGGTGCAGCAGACTCAATTACATTTCAGGTCCTGGCTGCAGGGCTACTAAATTGCTTCAGGGGTCTGGCCAGCCGCCCCACTCTTTGTGACAGCTGAACCGTTCCCAGGGTCCCAGCCCCATTTGCACAGCCCCAAAGAGCACCTTGAGTGACTTGGGGTCTCTAGATTGTCACCAACTTGGTTTGTTGTTATTTTCCTTTCTGCAGAACAGGCCCCAGAAATCCACACTGCTTGTGGCTAGAGGATTGGGTTCAAAGTGACTGACTGTTGCAGAAAGATTTTGTGTGGTATGTGGCAGAAAATTAACAGGGTTCTTTGATTTGAAGCATATCGGATGTATTTTAATTGATTTAGCGCCAAAGTCAGGAACTAATTTTGGGACTCCTTGTGTGCACTTTTGGGGGTGTTTTGTGGCCCAGGTTTGGTTACAGATTTAACAAATGACCAGAGGGGAAAAGGCAAAATGCACCATTGAATGAATCGGTAGGTTGATGTTGGTATTTTTCTTTTGCACATGTGCAGAAACAGTTCTGTGAAAAAACAAAAAACAAAACAAAAAACGGGGCACCAATCCAAAAGTTCAGCCCCCCAATTCTCAAATATTTGGATACCTGGATAACTCCCTCATTCTAAGCTTTACTGTTTGGGTGGATATAACTTGATCCTATGCTTTTCTTTTTGTAAAGTCTGTTGTAGGTTAATTGGAAATTTGAGACATTGTACATTATATGTATTTTAAGCTGTCTCCAACTGAAAATTTCTATAGCAGCAAGTAGTTGAGAATTCACTCTGGGCAGGTGCCATTTTTTAAGGTTGAAAAAATTAAAGAGGAGGTAAAGCTGTCATTCGAGGGACACACTTCCAGGTTTGTGGAAGAAGAGGCAGAGAAACGTGCACTTCATTCATGCTTTTCTTCTGAGGTGATATTCCCCAGGCTGGATGTTGAATAAGCAAAAACTAAGCTTAGCTCCTTGCTCGTGTTGTCTTAATAGCTGTTGAAGAATCGCGCTGGGAAGTTGGAAAGTGGAATAATGAAAAACAGACGCGGTTGGAGCTGCAGGTTGAGGATGTGAGCTTGTGAGGGGTTGAGTGGTAAGGGTGTGTCTGGGGAATCTGTGCGGGGACACAGAAGCCTGAATGCTGGGAGCTGCTGCAAATTGAAAGAATGAAACCTCGTATTATGCCAGACACCTTTCTGAGCTTTACTGGAGCTTCCTGTCAGGCATTCGTCTGGCAGTCTGATCCACAGAGTAAGTTAGAGTGAAAGGATTGCATCAGTAGAGGGGAGTCTGCCCTTCTCCTTCAGTGGGTGTCTGCCTTTATTTGTAGAAACGTTGAACATTCCGCCCGGGTTTAGTCGAATGCCCACTAGGGGGCGCCCTGAGAACGGAAGAGGCTCATTTCTCAGCAGCAAGACTTCAGTCCTGCTGTTATTGTCCAGCCCTAGTTCAGTTTCCCATTGTGCTATTTATTTCAGCTCAATCTCCTGGTTTACTAAAAAATTAATGTATCGATATTGAATCTGGTAGTAGATCCAGACCCAGAATCTCCAAACTGCTTTCAACCGGATAGGCAAGCTTACAATGTTAGCCAAATCACCTGGTGAGAACTTTGCATTAAATAGGTGGGAAAACTGTCGGGTGAGGTTGGGTGAATGGAAGGCCTCCTTGGCCTTGAGTCCTCCCCCTGCTGAGCACACTGCTCACAGATGGTGTAGGAACTTAAGTGAGAAGCAGGAATTGTCAGGTGGAAAATTCCCTGTGTCTGGCTGAACAGAAAATAAAACAAACATAAAAAAAAATTGGTCAGCAAGTTGTTCTTGCCATACAGTGCTTGGTGACTCAGAATCTGTCAGGAGCAGCAAGAAATTTTCATTTAAACTGGCAGTTTTCTTCTGGTTCCAAGGATGCACTAAACAGCCACAACTTGCTTTTAAGGTACAACTGAGGAAAATGGACGCGCGCTATGTCAATTCTGCCTTTTCGATCTTCAGGGGGAATTCTGCAGTGATTTATTTTCATCCGTAGCTTCGCCGCTTAGAGCACTTCTCAGGTACAGTGGCTTTATTAAGCCACTTTGCCAGTGCCAGTGGCTGAAGTCAGGTGCTGGCTGCCAGGCTGCATGAGAGGCTGTGAAATCAGTGCTCTTGACACGGAGCAGTGTTTGAAAACAAGAATGCTGTGGCTTTTAACTGCATGTTTGGAGCGCCTTCTGAATCAAAACACCACGCAGCATTATCTCCTATGTTCTGTGAAAGGCAGTTCCAAAAACAGTTGCAGAATCAGAAACTTGGATCAGCTGGCAGCCCTCCGCAGGGTACAGGCATCCTCCCCTCTTCAATCCCAAATTGAAGTGCCCGAGCCTGTCCACAACGTAGGGACTCAAAGTGGCTTCTTCCAGAGAGACTAGCAAGCCCACCAATGAGGCAGTCTTGCAGGAGGGCTAAGGGCCCTGGCTGACATTCAAATCCTGACCCACCCCTTGCTAGCATTGTGACCTGTGCAAGCTATGTAGCTCTTTGAAACCTCAGCTTTCTCGTCTGTAAAATGGGCAACTAATGGTACCAAGTTCATGGGCTTGTTGTGAGAATTGAGTAAAATGATCTATAGAAAGCTTCAAAAGGGGAAATAAGCCAATTTTAGTTTCCTTTTCTAGCAGATATTTTTTTTTCCCCTCATCTCACTTGGACTTTTAAGACCATCAGGAAAACATGGTGCTTTTGACAGTTAGCCTTGTATCATTCAGAGAGAGGTAGAAGAAATGATCAACTTACCATCTAGGGAATGCTAGAAAAGCGTGCCCATAGGAAGCTAAGGCAGCCAGATCCCAGTAGGCTCTGAACGCATTTCTAAAGCCTTGAATTTAGCCTTTATTTATTGCAGAACTCTTGCTTTGTTACAATCTTGGGCAGGATTCTTAAGCAGGCCCCCGTGTCCTAACATGGCATGCATTTTCTTTGAGCCAAACTCCCTGGACCTTCAGGCTGCACAAAATATTGACAAAAATACCAAAACCAAAAACAACATTTTGGGGAGAGGTGTCATGTGATTGCTTCCCTGCCAAGGGCCAAATTCATCTTCCCTGCGCACCTGGTTATCACTTGTTTGTGGTGTTGTCTAAGCAGAAGGGAAGGTCTCTGGGAAGGGTCTGGCAAGGGAGTGACAGGACTGGGGGGCAGAGGGCACCCCAGGTCCCAGAGCTCTAGCTTGAGTGACGGGCCATCCTCACATGGCAAAGCTACTGATTTGACCCAAGATGGGTGTTTTAAACATTGGCCCTGTTGTTCATAACCTGGCCCTTGACTATTGCAGATCATGGGAGCGAATTAGCAGGCTGACCTGCTGAGCCAGAGTTGTGTGTGGCTGTCATGTGCACGGTGGCGGAGGTGCCACGTTACAGCTAAGACCCAACCCCAGCTTCAGGGAGCGAGGGACCTTGGCAAACATGTCCAGTCTTCTTATCCTGGAGGTGGGAAAAGTAAGGCACAGAAGTGTTAGGTGACTTTTCTGAGGTGGCACAGCTCGTAAGTGACTGAGCTGGGTCTAAGAAACCTGACTCTTGATTTGGTATTTTTCCATCACCCATCTTATAAATCTTTCCCAGAGCAAGACATGATCCTCACTCTTAAAGAATATACTCTAGTAGCAAAGATGAAATGTACTTACAAATATTGAACTAATTCTGCTCAGTTCAACAAAGATTTATTACCATCTGCCATATGCTTCTCCCCATGTTAAATGCTGAGACCTAGACAAAGAACTTACCGTCTGGTGGAAGAGACAGAATTAAGCAACTGCTAGGCCATAGTTCCCTCTTCTATTCGGGACTTAATTATTTCAGGTGATTTTCAAGTCGAACTGTAGTTCATTGAAGCTTAGCTCATTACATTGAGTTCAACCCTGGATAGGAACACCCCTTCCCCTTATTAGCTCTGCTGCTATTATTACTACCAGCTGATATTTGGGAGAGGCTGGGATGTGTCTACTTTACAGACATTTTCTCTGCTCCTCTCAGCAATGCTAAGAGGTATGCACTGTAGTTAGACCCGTTTAACAGACAGGGAAAGTGACGCTTTAGGGAGGTGGAGTAGCTTGCCCAGGGTCATCCAGCTAAACAGTGTCAAACTCGTCTACCTGTATGAAACACGTTGCTGCTAGAGAAATGGAGAACCTTCCTTGTGTTGTCCAACTGGTCAGCTCTGGATTTGGGCATGGAGCTCTCTGCTCATGGAGCCAGAGGACCAGCCCTGGGGTGACTCTTTTCCTGGGGGGTTTCTTGTTATTCAGCTGGGGATCTAGAGAAGGGGCCATGGAATACTGTAGGTTTAGGGACGACAAATACTGTTGAAGATGACCTTTGATTTGGGTTTCAGAAGACTGAAATATGGGCCA